CGTTCCGCCTACCAGCTACCACTTGTCGGCGTATGAATGGCCAGCTCTCGCGATTTTGGTGGGCAAGCCAAGACAAAGACAAAGGGATCCACTGGATCTCCTGGCTGGCCATTTTTGTTAGTAAATTTGGTGGGGGACTTGGGTTCAGGGACTTCGATCTCTTCAATATAGCGATGCTGGCAACGCAAGCTTGGAAGCTGCTGTTATCTCCATCTTCAACCCTTGCTCAATTATACAAGGCCCGCTACCACTCCTCGTGTGACTTCCTCCACGCACCAACTGGAAATCGGCCTTCCTGGGCATGGCAAGGAGTTCTAGAAGGGCGTAAGCTGCTTCTCAAAGGATTAAGGTGGCAGGTAGGTTGTGGCACAGCCATCAGGATCCTTGACGATCCATGGTTACCCACTTCTCCACCTTCTTCCCCCTCCCTACTCCCAGGTATTACTCTGCCAAACCCTTTCGTGGCTTCTCTCATTAATCACCTGACGCGCTCGTGGAACTAGGAGCTTCTTTAACTGTATTTTTCCCCCGATAGCATTAAGTGGATACTCTCCCTCCCTGTCCCGTTGTCACCGAAGCCCGATCGTCTTATTTGGCACTACTCGGAGACTGGGCAGTATACTGTGAAGTCAGGGTACCACTTACTCTCAGATGAACGTGCTGCGATGTTCAATACCCTACTTCCTCATCCGGAGTCTCGGGTTTGGAAAGTACTCTGGAGTCTGCCGGTGCCGCAGAAGCTTCGTGTGTTCTTATGGCGGGCTGTGCGTGGATTCCTCCCATGCTTGGATATCCTCCAAGCTAAATCCCTTAGTGATTCCAACGTTTACCCTGTTTGTTCTGAAGCTTTGAAATCCATCTCCCACTGTATTTTTGATTGCAGGGTTGCTCGTGGTGTTTGGGACTTGGCTGGCAAGACTCCGCTTCGAGTGACACTAGCGACGTTACCGGCTGATGTGGCCTGGTCTCAGGTGTTGACTTCAATGCATCTCAACAAGCTAGAGATGGCCGAGATTGTCTTCATTTCCTGGCGCATCTGTAAATTACGATGATGGGCATGCTACAATCGTGTCCAATACCTGCCCGGCCCCCTCTTTCGACAGTTTCGGCAGTAGCAGGAGGAATGGATTGCAGCTACATCTTCCCAACTGAATGTCGGAGCTCCCCAGCATCGCCAGTCCCCCGCGCTGGTTACCGCTTCATGCCCCCAGGATGGTTTGCTACTTCGGTTTGATGGAGCAACAGGACATGATATTGGTGGCAGCATTGGGTTCGTGGGCTTATCACTGGCAGGGTCGATAACTTGTGCATACGGTAAGTACTACGTCGGTTTATTCGACCCTTTTATATTGGAACTTCTAGCATTAAGTGATTCAATGGATTTGTGCTTAACTCAGGGTATTTCTTCTGTTTGTTTCTGTGGGGATTCGCAACTGGTGATCCGACGAGTATCGGAGGATGTACAGGATCATAATCGTGGCAGGGCGATTCTTGAAGAAATCTGGTTGATGAAAGCATCATTCGCGTTTATTCGTTTTGTTTTTTCTCCCCGTAGAACTAACATGGCTGCCCATTGCGTGGCGAAAACAGCTCTTGCATCGGCTAATCATCGTTTGGCTGATTTCCGCTATCTCCTTTTCAATTCCTTGTAATTCCCTATCTATTACATACTACCTAAGTCAAATATATATATAAAATGGTCGAATCTTATCCTACCGTTTAGTGATACAACATCTTGTATTATACAAACTAAATTCATACTTTTATGTTATGGTGGATTGGATTCGTGGATTGGTTCAAAATGATTGTTGGATTGGATTCATGAATTCAAGTGAAATCTAAACATTGGACAAATATGCAAATTTAAAAAATTGTAGGTACGAATCTCATAAAATGTAGATGCCAAAACAAAATAGTTCAATGATTTTACATTAAAATTAAATTTGAGGTATCAAAATATAAAATGTACATTATAGTGACTAAGTTGTGATTTAATGAAATTGGGGGTATCAAAATGTAAATTTTATGCAACGGTAACCAAACGCCAACTTAAAATTAAATTTTGGTTATCAAAATGTTAAATGTACATTATGGTGACTAAGTTGTGATTTAATTAAATTCGGGGTATCAAAATATAAATTTTAATGCAACGTTAACCCAATTTCAGCTTAAAATTAAATTTGGAGTATCAAAATGTAAAATGTACATTATGCAATAGTAACACTACTTCAGGTTTATATATATTAATGGTTAATGATTAACCACTAATCACACTCTTAATTTTGCTAACCATAATCACCACAAACCAAACTTCCATCTCTAGAATTTATGTAGACTTGTATTGTGAAATTATATGAGATATAAGAACTATGATAGTAGTACCAAAATAGAACAAGCAGAATATTATAATTTGTGAAATCATATATTGTGAATATAGAATATATAGTTTCCAAACACCAAAATGACTTTTACGTAGGATGACAATGGGGTGAGCTTGTCATAACTATATTTTCAAATATAAAAAATCATACCGACCCATATATCAATGAGGGAAAGGCTTTGTAATTCTGTTTTCATACCTGTAGTTTTCGCGTACCTGTAGGTAATACCCGCCTATTACATCAAATGTTATTTTACGTAAAAATTTACATGTAGATTTTCAACAATAACACTGAAAGGACCTAATACATCATGAAATCAATGAAAAGTATAATAATTCTTATTAGGATTATGATATTATATCCTAAAACATCTATTAACCCATAGGATAGAGTACAATAATAGACCAATCATTCTTCTCCTACTTTGATACATCTATTCAGTAATATATAACCAACATAATCATCTTACCAAACGGGGAAAGGTGAAAAGAGTGAAGAGAGAGAAAAAGAATTAGGTTTTAGTTCGGGTATATACTCCATTACATTTGTACTATTTATTTTCTCAAGTACCCTAACTATCATTGAAAAGTTATAATTTGATTCCTATATTTTTTATAATTGAAGAAATAATCTTAGTAGAACGAGATATGAGTACATAACAGGAGAGACTAAAACCATACTTATTCCATGCCCTATCAAAAATTTTGCATGTTTTAAGTTAACCACACCCAGTAACGGAGGAAGGGCTTGGGGACTGGTGTCCCAGGACCCCACTTAAGAAATTGGAGGGCAAAATTTTTCATTATATATATATATATTTCAAGAAGGGCTTAAAATTTAGGATCCTGTTACATTTCTATTTTTTTTACTCTAAAATCCAGGACCCCATTGTCTTGTATATGCAACTCCACCAAAAGGACAAGAAGACTACTTCAATTAAATTATTTTTAAGCTATTTCTAAATATTAAAGATGGAATCTCTACTATAATTATTGTTTTAAATCCTAATCGAAAAGAGCTACTCCTATTCTATTATAAGTCTCTTCATTTCAGAATCATAATAGAAAGAGCTGGGATGATAGGTTCAAATGTTTGAAGGGAGTAGATGAGCCGAACATAAAGATGGTGGAAAGAGATAAAACATAATTATTATCTATTAGTTTATTAGTTATAGGTATAATATGTCGATCTAATATGCATTTTTATCAAATATGTTGCTTTATTATTTTTTACATCAAATATGTTTATATATTTTGAATTTTTTTTATAAAATATGTCTTTTATTTAAATTTTCATCCAAAAATTGTCAACTAAGATCAAATTATGCTTCGAACGACCTTACCTCAACAAAATCATAGGAAAAATGTCAGTTTTGCCACATCATTTATTTTTCCAAGTCTCGTTAAAGTGAAAGTACTAGGGGCACTGGGCTATACAAAAGAAACAAAAATGCTTAAGTGAAATTATTAGAGATATTTTTTATATTTGTGTCTCACAAACCAAGATTCGGTCATGGTTGACGGTGTTTGGATGAAAATTTTAACAGAATGACATGTTTGATAATTTTTTCAAATTACATGAGCATGTTTGATGTAAGAAATAGAAGATGGATATTTTTGTAAAGTTCCATAATAGAATGGAATATTGTACCTATAACTATTAGTTTATCTATTAATTAAGCTTACACTTATTATGTTTGTTCCTACTGTTTGCGTTTTTTTTTTTTTTGTGTGGAGAGAATTCCTACTGTTAGCGTTGAAAGGTCATTTTCAGTTATGCATCACAAACAAATTTTCAAATCGAATAAGTGATGATTACGATTTCTTGACAGGATAAAAGAGGTGTTTAATATTGTAGACCGGGAATTAGTTTACAATGTTTTCAAAATATAAAATCATGTTGGGACTCATTGTAGAAACGAACAGATGTATCATATTAGTAAAACATCGAATTACGTAGTTCATTTCATCTATATATTTTTAAATTCATTTATCTTTACATTATTAATTTATTTTACAGGACCCCAATCAACTCAAAATCTGGCTACGCCACTGACCACACCCGCCTCATATTATTGTGGGCTCAATTGTCATAGCAAGTGAATTTGCAAAACTTTTCCAATTTTGTGAAAGGAATCAACTGGAAATGGGCTATCCATGAAAGTGAAAAGAGTTGCTCAGGCCAATGCTATGGTGCCGCACTTTTATGACGCCGTTTTTTATTGGGCCACGTGGCGCTGATGTGGCAGTGACTGGTTTAATTAGCCCGACCCAAAGCCAATGAGTAACCAGAACTGAAACCAACCCGGCTCTCCCACACTAACGGAGACTCCCTCTCCGTCCAACTTAAACGCTTATTCATTTTTTTTTTGCCAAACTGTATTTATATTTTTATTAATTAAAAATTGAAATAGTTTGTTTTCCGGACGATTGAGAAAACTGGTAAATAGGGGACGACGACGGACGAACGAAAAGTTGTTCCTCGATCTCCTTCTCCGAAGTCTCCCAAAATCGATTCGGTGACTTGTTCTTGGCCAATACCCATCTCCAAAATCATCCCGGTGGCTTGTTCAAAGGCAAAGAAATCTGTATCTTAGGGGCCTCTGTGACCATCGAAGAGCCCCGCCGCCAAGTACCGGATCTAGAGACGCCCTCCTTCACCGGCGGTCGCTCCAAAATCACTACGGTCACTAGTTCGTGCGCGATCCCGTCTCCAAGGTCAACCTTACGTGTGGATTGTGTCGTACCCAACCCCTTCAGAGTCAGTCCTCTCTATTTTGTACTGTCTAAACTTCCCACGCCTGCTCATCTGTTAGCCAAGACTAACCTCTGCCGAGAGAATTTTTTCCCATCTCGGCAAATTGAGGTGATATTCTGCTCTTTCTTTAATATTGCCCTTCTTCTCACTATACGTTTCTTTTGAATGGTTGGAAAGGCTAGGCATCATGACTTGAAACATATATGGAGTCCTCGTATAACATGATATGGATACTGGAGTGAGGAATCTTTTTGATTGGATGTTAGTATGGATAAGACAAGATGAATGGGCAGCTCTGTGTTGACTCAGGCATGGAAATACACTAGAAAGCTTGTTGTATGTGTTTGGAGTTTTCTCTCCTGTAGATATGGATTGTCGAGTGTATTGAAGGGATCTAACGCAGGGTACCAATTTCTAGATATATGGACAGTTTGGTGTATGAGAATGCTGATGGATATATATTAGATTTTGGCCTCCATTGTAGCAAGATGAGAGTGTTTTCCTTCTTAGTCTATTGGAGTTTAGTTAATGTTTAATTCAATTGGTGCATTTTGTTCAATTTGTTAGCTTGATAATGACGTTTCATATCATATTCTTGTATTCTTTGACATGTGGTAAGGTTATTGTTTATCCTTAAGGTTTGTTTAAAATAGAGAGGCTAGACGATACAGTTAACAGACCTGCAACCTGAGAGGCAGGACCATGGAGTCTTTCTGGTGTCAATTATATCCCTAGCTTGAAAATTTGTGACCTTTACAATTGGCATGACCACTCCATCAATTTCAATTTCCGTTCATGTTGAGTTACTTAATAGACGGTTTTACCATCATGTGAAACTAACTGCTTTCTATGCTTCTTGTAGTTGCAGGAAAACTGACTCCCGACAGGTACAACTGCCTTGCTCATGCTAGAAGGTAAGCAAACTGTACCATTCATTTCAAACTCAATACTTGCGAGTAAGGATGATCAAACTACTCGGGTTGCACTGATCTTTTTATGAGATGGCCTTGCAAAGCATGTAGATTTCTGGCACAACAATACTTTCTACGACTGCTAGATGTGAAAAAGAATGGCTACCACTGTAGCAGCGGGGAAGGGTTCAACATTAACATGACAAGATGTAGGTGTCACCACCTCTCACAACGTGGCTGTACTACATCTGCAGCCACGAGAACTACTGTTCGATGCAGGGTATGAAGATGGAGGTGAATGTGACTACCGAGCTGCCACCGCAACACGTGGTCTCTTTCCCGGTTGAGAGCAACAACGATATTTCCTCTCCTCCATGTCGAATAATCTCGGCTGTCCTGTTTTTGGTTCTAGATGTTATGTCGAGTAGTGGTACTCTATTACAATTTGCAGCCATTGTAGCTCATGTTATTATTCACTGTAAAAGTGGTGCTAGATTCGAACTATGGTCTTCTCCAAGTGATTGAAATAAGGAATTGGTTCATTGTTATGTAGTAGTGATGTTACATTGTCTAGATACTGATCCTTTGTTACACCCCGCTCTTCCCAAAAGTCAAAATGACTATTATACCCTTGGGTCAAGTTCCACCGTATTATCGATGAGGACAAAAAAAATGGGAACTCTCGGTTCTAATGGTATCGAATTTCGACATAAAACGAGGAAGTTACGAATGTTAATTGAGTTTTGGATTAAACTCCCAAAATAAGACTGGTGAAATTAAACCCTAACCTAACCCTACCTTTCACTCGGCCTCACCTAGGTATATATATATATGTTAAGCCTAAAACTAATAAAACAGGGAATTGCACCGTCAACTACTCCTAGTCCCCATCACCAATTGCACACGTCTCTCGGTCTCTGCCGCGTTCCCCACAACGCACAAGCACCGCCGGAAGCACTTTTCCTTTCCCCCTCGCAAGCGGACAAGTCCATTTCCATCCTCTTATCACATCGTCATCACCAAATTCACCACCGCCACCGAATGGACGCAGGCTTTCTTAGGACGAAAGGTTTTGGGGAATTAAATGGACCAGGTGAAGCCCCCAGATAATGGATGGCGCCGGGATTCTTGGACCAAGCTCGCGCTATTTCGAACAAATGGCAGCAGCGCTGATAGGCTGCTACATGAGTGGAGCGAGGTGAAGGCTTGGAGAAAGAGGACGATTAAGCTGCAATCTAGGTTTGAGATGGAGTAATAAGCGAGGGCCATGATGATCCTGAACGAGTGTGAGCTGTGGGTGTGGTTAAAAGAATTAGGTTCAGCTAAGGTGGTACGTGGCTTGTGGATGCAATGGTGATTGTGTTGTTGAAATCACCTTAGAATGGCATTAGGGCACGTAAATCTTGTGATGGTGGGGTTGTGGCCGAGCAGTCATGCGTCGATCGAGTGAAGGGAAATCCATCCCTTCGTTGATTCAATTCAATCAGCTTCAATATAAGGTGAGTGTAAAGGGGGCAAATTCTACGCCTTACGAGTTTTAAATATGTGCTTACTTGAAGTATATGCCATTGCTTGATTATGTTTATGATTGATTATTTGTGCTTTGCTTGAGCTATGATTTGAGGTGATTTTGTGCTATTTACCTTAAAGCGTTATGTTATGAGTTATTGTTAAAGTTTAAAAAACAAGTTCTTTTAAGAAGTAACTCACCTTCAAGAAGGTGAAGTCGTTTTAAGTGTTTTTAGTCGCTAGCGCCAGTCCGTTGCCATTTAAGATTTTCAGATAGAGCAGCAGTTATGCTCTGGAGAACTTTGAGACAGAGCAGCAGTTATGCTCTGGAGAACTTTGAGACAGAGCAGCAGTTATGCTCTTGAGATATTTAAGATGGGCAACAGTTATGCTCTTGAGAATCGTGGTGAAGAGCCACCACGATAAGTTTAAGATGTTCGGGGGATGAATCGTTACGACTCCCCTAACTAAGTTTAAGTTTAAGGAAAGCCTTGATGGCTTCTCATACGTATGAGTTGGCAACCGGACTAGCTAGTGGGGGATCCCAGTGTCAGTCAAGTATTTAAGTCGAGATTTGAGCTTTAAGAATGGAGAGTAACAGTAACTCCCATACAGTTTTAAGAGTTAGGAATTTTAAGAGTGGAAGTACAAACAACTTCCGCAAATTTAAGTAAGTGTTTTAAGTAAAGTACTAAGCAGTAAGAATTTTAAACGTAAGGGCGTAGACTGACCCCATCTCACTCACCAGTTTGAAGAGCTAGAGGAAGAGTTATAGGAGCATTTTGTGAGCAGCGAATTCGAGGGCAGGCAGCTAGAGGAGGGCAGTATAAGCATCACAGAGGATGCTTAGTCAAGGTTTCAGTAGCAACAACATTAGAGATTATTAGTTATTTGCATTTATAATTATGAGTATAGACTGGAGATCAGAATGAGATTTTAAAGTTTGAGTTTAATTTGCCCACGTATTAGGGCTTTGTTCTGAGCTACAAGGGTGTGTTTTCAGTATTTTATTTATGAAAATTTTTCCCGCTGCAATTTAAGATTTGAGTATTTTATTTATCAAGGGCATTTTATTAAAAGTAGTACCCGGCCGGGTTAGGATGTTTCATCCTTTTTCCTTTTTCACGTGCAAAGGAAACAACAGGGTTCCTAACTTTGCAGGTAGTAACAAATAACTATCCATATAGACCGTTGGCGGCCAAAAGAAGTTTCTTTGTAAAGGAGTAAAAATAAATTCCTAAACATTCCTCTTCAATTTAGTCTGAGACTTAAATAAACACCAATGTACCATTTGCTACAACTACTAATTCACTTAACATATCTCTGCACTCTTGAAAACCATATCCTTTAATCTCTTTTATTCTTTTGGGGCTAATTCCTCTTCCGTTTCATTCTTCTCTCGGAAGTATGCAACAAGCACATACAACTGAACCTGGAATAAAGCACCCCAAAAGGAATAGCGGTTTAGAGTATGTAAATGCATGCTGTTGGAATAATTTCATATGGGACCACTACAATAGTTTTGGAAACACAGCAATGAGGTTGTCAACATTATAAGAATCTGTGCAAAAGCTACCTAAATAAACTTGAAACTCATCCATCAGATCCAGGAGCAAGAAAAGCTCAATCACATTAGTTTTGTGCAACCTCAGTTAATGTACTGACTAGCTCAATATATTCACCTACAAATGAAGCAAACCAAGTGGGTATTTGTATTCCTGGTTATGTGACAATTCACTCAGTATGCCAGTTCAGAAGCATTCGCGAAGCCTAACGAAGAACTGATGCTGATCAACCTATCAAAATGAAATGACCCACTAAATGGGTCAAAAGCTCTGTAGCATCTCAGAAAATAATCCCCTGCTCCCCCTTCATGTTCTTATCTCTGTACTTCGATTTTCATTCCTGAGGAAGAGACTTGCATTTAGATTTTCTAACTAGGTGTCTGCAATGTCCCGCTCAGCCTTTTTTGCACTAGTCAGCCAGCTATGTATGAGCTTCCCAATTCTGCAGCATACCACATTCACCGGCCTACTCTTTCCTTCCAAAATTCTCTAGTTTCGTTCAGTCCACAAGCTCCAGCAGAAGGCGTGTAGCGCAAGGATTGAACACCATTCCGCTGGGTTCCCTGGTTTCCACTACCTCCAACCTTCCAAGATCTCAACAAAATTCCCTGGTTGAATCGAATTACCAAGAGCGAATCGAATCCCCCTGGGTCTGCGCCCTCCCTTTTTGAATCATAGGAATTGAAGTCAAAACCCTTTGAGGTGCGGATTCTCCACAATGAATGCAAACGCTTCCTGGTAAGGCAAGCCAGAACTAATTATCTCGTACTTCATGCAATATAATTGAGGACAACAATTCAAAGCAGGACATTTGACCCCCTTAAGGCTTCAATACACGAATAAGAGACAAAACCTCACTAACAGTGTGAAAAACCCACGGTGAAACATAACAGCAGGAGATTCAAAAACACAGCACGTGACACAGCTGATTTTCAATATCATATGTGTTTTCGGGGTGTGTTTATTGTTTACCTTTCTTCTGCCGAGAAACCAGGCAAGTAACAGTTACATAACTTGGTGGCTATCAGTGTTGGGAGAGTTATCCACCCGATAAGTATAAGAGAGGGTGCGATCAGGTAGATAATAACAACCTGAAATTTGAAAATATTTAGCAAAATATTAATCACTGGAGGGAACTACCTGATTATTCAAGCATATAATTAAATATCCAATCAACTACGTAACAAGAAAAGGTGATATTTATTCTTAATAATAGATAGATGAAGCATTTGAATTCATATCAAACTCTCATTGCTACTGTGGACTATATAAAAACATATCCCTCTTTCAGGACTCACTTTTCGTGGAAGGGAGTAGGGGTTTCCAGAGTCGCATAGCATCATCGAAGGTATTAGTTAGCTTGTTTTTTTTTTTCCTTCTACCCTAATTTCATAGTTTGGTACTGATTTTCATGGCGGGCAGGAATTTTATGCAGAATCGACGTTCCTGGGTGGATAAGTAAGGTATGTGTTCATACTCAACCTCTATTACTTTCAGAAGGGTAATGATGTTGTTATTTTATTAGAATACCAAATGCAACTTTCATAGATTACCAAGCCATTAGAATTCTTATGCCATAGGTTTTCGGGAAGAAGAAAAATGTATTAGTGTTAGAAAAGACTTAAATATAACAAACTCCAAACAAAGAAGCATTCTTTCTATATAAAAAAAACAAAGAAGCATTCTTAGGCTTTTAAAATCATCAACTAACATTCGAAGTACTGCTAGTCATTCGTTAAATACTCTATCATCGAGCTTTCAATTCCACTACCTAAGAAGAAAATTGGCTATGAAATCAGAATCCCAGAAAGTCATGGAAATCATTAAGGTTATCATCTATTGCTTGTTCAGCCTATATTCTAAGTCATGAAATCATCAGGACACACTCTAAGAAAATGCTATTCCGTCATGAAATAGGCTGTGATTATCAAGTGTCAAATTCCCCTGGACAGATTTGCATAGCAAATAAGACACAATGAGTTATAAACTTATAACATAGCTGGTTATTCAGTCAGCATTGCAGGCAAATATTTAACATCGTGGCTCCAAATTCATGTGCCCAATG